CCAAGGGAACCGAAATCGAAGTAAAATTAGTGAACTTCACGAAAGGTCTATCTATTGACGGATGCCCTTATGCAGGTGTAGAGATCAAAACAAACAAGGACCAAACGCTCACTGGTTACAGGTATACTGTTTGAATAAATTAGAAGTGCGCAAAGGTATATTCGAACGAGGAGATCATTGCGATCGAAATGACAATTGACAGTTTTCTCTCAGAATACTGGTCAATTTGACCGCAGACAAGTCAAAAAACTGTTTTGAATGAAGAAGTGAATTGAAGATTCTGCTCACCTGACGCGGCTGGAACAATTCTTCGTTCTTACATAAACCGTGTCCCAATAATGACATATAACAGGATTGTCAAAACGACGACAGTGCTTGAATACCGATACGGTACTGCTTTATTATTTCTTGTCTTGAAATCACTAAGATCAACCTAAAGCATCTAGTTCCCTGCAAATTCAAACCAAGAGCTACGACTGCTACCTCTACTACCACCACAACTACGACAACGACAAAACGACCTGTTGTTCCATTCATAAATACAGGAACTGGCTCTAAATGCGAGGACAACGCAACATCGTAGGAAAGACCCTCCTCATATACCCTGTCTATTGGTCCGTCAAGAACTATTCAGAGGTTTTCCAGCTGCATGTCTCTTGTACCAAGTGGTTTCTGCAAAGGTCCACTATCGGAGGCTACCAAGAAGAAAGTGTGTCCGAAGTCTTGTGGCTTCTGTGATACTTTGCAATAACTCCACTCCGCATCAACTGCAATAAAGTCTGTTGCATCGCACTTGTATATAACATCACAATGCAGTGTGTATATTCGCGGATCTCATAGCCTAAAATGCTAGTAGAGCACTATATCGTGGGGGAAATGGCGAAAGAACGGAGCGAAACAGTCGAAGGAAAAGCGTCCGTTCTCAGTGAATTGAGAATCTATTTCGGACGAGTTTCCCGTAGGCATCTTGCCAATCACCGCTACCGAAGATACGGCTGCATGTGTACCCATATATGCATGCAGCATCACGGCCGCTTCATACCAATCCCTTCGCTTCAATGCTTCAATAATTTGCTTAGGCCGAGTGAATTGAAGCAATTAACATAGCCGTCAAGAACGGTCGTCCAATTGTGGGCGGGCGGGCGTGGCGGCCGTATGGGTCGGAATGTTGTAGCTTGATAGGGCCCTCATAAAGGCACCTTCCTCGAGGATACCGCTATGCAGTGCCTGCCCAGGTTTGCGGAATTTTCCTACCATTTGTATTGATCCTGGTCGTCTTGGGTGATTTATTGTGCCAACTGCCTTTAAGCGCGCACTGTTGAGAGCTTGCTGCAACTAAAAACGCTCATACTTGCAGGACTATGTGGGACAAGGTCTACAAACCTACGGTTTCAGAAAAATTAGAAACTAAATTCGAAGAAATAAAAAACTTGGACTAGTTCTCAAGAGTCGTCATCGGGCCGTTTCTTGCAGCACTCACCGCTGGTAATGGGAACCTAGTAAAGAAACGACCGCATCACCAGTTAGCGTTCAGAAATCAAAGTTGGGTGTTCCGCTATGCAGCGTGCCAATGTCCTGAGCAAAGAGAGGGTCTGTTTTCCTCACGCATTTTTGAGCTGCAACATTGTTCGTCCTCCAAGCTTGCGGGACTAACACCAACCACGTCTGAAGAATGCTCCATATAAGGATCGCAGAAATGGGTTTCGCTTTTGCTATGCATTACTGGGATGTCAAAAAATGGGTGAAAAGTTTGCTGGAGGAGCGATTTTGAACCGCATTTTCTAGGCTTTCTTCTATCTCTGAGTTGAGAAGCTCACAGGGCAGATGAGACCTTCGTCGACACTGCATCGAAAACAATACAATTCAAGGTAAAAAAGAACTATCTGGCACACAGTGAGGCAGCATTGTAGTTTCTCAAGTGATTCTCGCAGCATCCCAACCCGCAGTTAGGGGGGGGGTATTCAGAGCCATGTTGGCGCCAAATGACCTAGGACGCCAATTTATAAAGGTCAGAATCGTGATCAGGGCCGTTAATAACCTCTATATACACAACCTTTCCAGCGAAACTTCCTCTCTAGCCTTGGCGCGTAGAGCCCCTGCGTGAGGGTTGACAACGATTTCAGTGCGAGAATGCTCTTGCAGCAAATCGGCGATAAGTTGCGCTGTGGCCAAAAACGAGTGTCGCACTCGCGGAGATGGACCAGTCATCCCCGTAGGCCCAAATTTAGGCAACGGTTCCTCAGTATGTTTGCGAGAGCGCAATAGTTAAAGCAGTTGGCACGATAAATCGCTATACAGGTGTAGGAATTTGTACAACTGGCTTAACAGAATTCCGTGACCTCGGACAGGCGCTGCGTGAAGCCTTTTCCAAGGAGGGTACCTCTATAACGCCCTATTGAGCAACAACTTTACGTCCCAAACGCCTTCCTTGCCCGCCCGCCCACAAACGGACGACCGTTTCTGACGCTCGTATTCATTCATTTGCTGAGCAAATTATGAAGCAAAGGGATTGGTATGAAGCGGCGGTGATGCTGCATGCATATATGGGTACAAATATGCAGCCGTATCTCCGGTAGCGGTGATTGGCAGATGCGTCGGGAAACTGCGTGCCGAAATCGATTCACAAGTCAGCCTGAGAACGAAGGCTTTTCTTCGTCCGGAATTTTTGACCGTTTACTCTGTCTTCGCCATTCCCACAATGATACTCCCTACTAGCATTTTGGGCGAAGTAGAAACCATCGTTTCAACTGCCTTTTAAGTAAGGTCGAACTCGTGAACTTTGAGTGTACAGAAGAGCGTTCTTAATGCCAATACAGGGGGGGCCAAAAAAAAGTCATTTTGCCTCCATGACTTTCAAGGCGCTATAAGTTACACTTTATTAAATTTTTATCGGACATTTTTACTACCATATTAAAGAGCACATTAAATACTATAATGATACTCCGCCACAGCCTTCTGGAGGAGCGCCATCGAGAGATTCGGCCGCGCGAAAGTGGGTGGGTACCGGAGTTGAGCGAGGTAGTCGATTTCTCCGCCACCGTAGACCACCCTATCGAACTCCGCTCGAACCAGGTAATTGAGGGGATTCAGGTCAGGGGCATACTTCAATATTGCATCTTCTTCAGGTACGAAGCGCCCTTTCATTCGAAGTAGGAGAGAGTTTTTCCAAAACCCTTCGATCATGTGGTGTCCACCAAAACCTGTAGCAGTACACGGTCTCCAAGAAGGTACGAGCGACAACATGTGGGGAGGATATTCTTCTCGAGTTGCTTGATGTAACCGCCAGCGCTCACCTTCAGTCGGGGTCTACAAAGAAAATATCGGTCTTCCCCTTTCCAGGTACCCCGGTCCATACCATCAACTCGCGCCTCGGCGAATACGGTGAAGATGATGTCCTAGACCGTAGCGACGTTGCCGTAGCTGGTCGATGTGGGAGGTCTTGCAGATCAAGAGTACTGACCTCCAGGTAGCTATCTGTGGATGACTTCATTCAAGAAGTTTCGCAGCTGTTTGGAGGCGACGTGAATTCCAAAGGTGTTCTCCAGTCAGGCCGCGACTGGAGATGACTTCATATTTTGGCGTACATGAAGGCGATTGGCGGCAGCGTGCTCCAGCTTATAGAGGAAATCTTGGGTATCTTCCACTCTGGTACTCATATCCACTTCCCCTGTCTGGGCTGGGCGAAAACTTCGTTTGATAATCGTGCTGGGCGAAATGACTTTTTTTTGGCCGCACCCTGTATATCCATGTTATATACATCATCACGCACGCAGGAACATGAGGGGACGGAAATCCGAAAAACGCATAAAGTATCCAAAAAATGAAAAAAGTCCGTTGCCAAGAGGATCCGATCCACAAACCTTCTTTGTGAGAGGGCCACCGCACTATCCAATATGCCGTCCGTAGACAGCACGAAAGCACCACCTGTTTGCCAGAATCGTTGAAGTAACTCGGACTAACCTTTTCCCATGCACATTCTTTTGACTTTATTTGCTCTCTTTATGATACGTGTTGAAGGAACACCTCATAAACTATGCACTCTCAAAGTTATAGCTGCAACAGAACCCAATAAGACGTTTAAAATCTCCCTTCCTGTCAAATTGTTTTTTCACTCCAGTTTTTTACCTCCCAGAAACGCATAACAAAAATGAAACCCACTTTTGTAATCCTTGTATGGATGCCTACAACAAGCAATTAACCATTTTTGAAAAGCGCGCCACGACCTGAAAGACCTTCCCTGTTAGTGAGTCGTCGTCCACTTCCAACTGGAGGTATGCTTCGGCAAGGTCGAGTTGAGAAAAGTAACGTCCTCCGTTGAGTTTCGTGAAGATGTCGTCTGGGGTTGGAAGTGGGTGCTGGTGCTGTTCCAGTGCGTCGTTCAGTCCAGTTGAGTAGTCTGCGCATAGTCGGATCGATCCATTTTTCTTCTGAACGGCGACGATTGGTGCTGCCCATTCTGAGTGGTCGATGGGCGTCAGGACGTGTGTAGACACCAGGCGATCGAGTCGTTCGAAATCGGTCGGCATGAGCGCTGTATGGAAGAAGGGCGAGCTTTCAGAAAGACAGGCCTCGCATTGGGTCAGCCAACTTTAGCAGTCGAGTTTTGGTGTGCACTCTTCCCAGGCCAGGTGTGAAGACAGTTGGGCTTCTCTGTCAGGCGAGTAGTGAGAGAAGTGTTCAGTTTGCTGAGCATCTTTGACGATATGTTGTAGATCGATCCTTCGGTCAGATGACGAAACAGTTGCTCGTGTTGGGCAATCCACTCTAGGCCCAATAAGGATGGCGTGTCGGCTACATAGCAGGTACCTCGTCCTCGTTGACCATCAGTGACGAAAAGTTGCAGTCGTAGCGCCCTCGAACTTTCGATCGGCTTGTCGTTGGCAGACTTCAGTGTTAGTCCGAGGAGACTGTGGTTTCGGACGACCAAGAGCAATCCAATCTGCTTCGCTTAGTAGAGTCACGTCTGCTCCAGTGAAACGCAGCGTATCGCTTTGCCATATTTCCACTGGGCGATAGATGCGTGATACGGAGGCGACATCAGCATGAGCTGTAGTGATGACGACGTTGTTGGCAGATCATCGCTTCCGTTGCGGTTTCTGCTTTCTCTTCCTCTTGAAGTTCTTGCAGAACCCTCGTTTGTGAAGTCGCTTTGCAGTGTGCAAGCGTCTTTTTTTAGGAAGGACATTCCCTCGACCCAGTGATTAGCTCGCGCATCGAAAAAACAAGGTGAGGGCGGCTCGCGGTTTTTTCCTTTCTGGTTGTGTGAGTCGACGGCGTTGACGTGAGGTGGAGCGGCTCGTTCGAGTAGTGCGGCATCTTGGCGAATGTCGAGGAATTGCTGGGATCCAGCTGGAATGCTTATTTCTCGAGGCTAGGCGCTCGGGAGAGTGGTGTAAATATAAAGAGTTTACAAAGAGGTTCTTAGCGCATCTCAAAAGGTATAACAGCTACATCGAGAAGAAAATAGTTGAGTCTAGTAACAGCAACGACTTCTACAAATATTTGAACACCAAAATTCGGGATAGGAGGTGCTTCGGCTGTCTGAGGGCTGGTAGCTCATTCGCGTACACTGAACACGACAAGGCTAACATGTTAGCAGAACAGTTCGTGAAAACCTTTTACAAAGGACGATGACACGGTTTCGATTCTACCCAATTCTGGTGTGGAGTCGTCTCACTCAATGGGTGACGTTCCGTGGTTTCTTGCAGAGGAGCCTACTATGAGCACAAATTTTAAAAGTGGCCCAACTCTTCCTTCTTCTGTTACTCCTGATTTTATTCCGTTATCAACTTAAAAAAGTAGGCTGTATCATTTTTGAGCCTCCTCGCGATACATTGTTAATCGGTCCACTTATGAGGTGCGAGGTCCCTGGGAGGTGTGAGCACCCCTTCATAATACCTATTTTAAAAAAGGAGCCATCATGTGATCCCGGTAATTACCGACCTGTTAGCATTACCCTTTGTTACTGGCAAGGCCTTTGAAAGACGCCTCAAGGAGCATGTCATCAAATATACTCTTGAATGCGACTTAATACCGGCGAATCAACATGGCTTCACCCCAGGACGCTCTGTTGAGACGAACATGATTGAATGTCTCGACGATTGGACAGATGCCGTCGATAAACGACCTTGATGTGACATCTATTTTCCGACTTCGCCAAGGCTTTTGACCGGGTGTCGCAAAGCTAATCCATAAATTGAAAGAATTGAAATTTCATCCTATTCTTATTAATTGGATCACCGATTTTCTCAGGGGTAGGACCTTCCAAGTTAGAGTTGGGGGGGGTGCTACTCCGTTAAGAAGCTTATAGTGGCGTGCCCCAAGGCGGTGTTCTGTCACCAGTGCTGTTTAACATTTTCACTGCGGAGATTCCTAGTCTGTTTCGGGGACTTGGTGTCTCGGTAAAGATGTACGCAGATGATGTTACAATCTATAAGAGGATATGTGGGCAGCCCGACTGTGAAGAACTTCAGAGCTATTGACGCTGATTAGTAACTGGGCGAGGAACTTGCAACTTCCTCTTGCTCCCCCCCCCCCTCCAAACATTGTGTATGAGGATTTCGTCTATTCGAAAGCTGTTCCATTTCCACGTACACACAATATACGGTGTAAGACGTTTTCTGCGGAGTGCCGTCACTCTGTCAGAGACCTTGGCTTCCGATATTCCAGTACCCTGAATTTTTCTGAACATATCAAAAAGTGATGTAACTCTGCTTTTTCGAGGACTGTTCATGTTTCAGGGTGTTGTTCTATCCCCACAGGTCAAGTCCCTGATTGAAAGCATATTAAGACGCTACGTTCGCTGTTTGGTAGAGAGTGGGGCGCGTGTTCTTCCCCCCCCCCCGCCAGTAAACGGGATATTTGTGCCTTAGAAAAAGTGCAAAACAATTTTACCCGCAAAATTCTCTTAAGAACTAGGAGCTTCTTGTATTCTAGGATTCCCGCTTCTCGTTTAGAAGACAAGTATTCGAACTGTCCTACACCTTGAAACGTAATGCTGACTATTGGCAAAAGTCGAACCAGCATTCACGCTTTCCGAGCCAGTGTGCTAACTCTTACGCCATCGAGGGCCGCATTTACCCTCTCTGCTTAACGGCTTTCATGCCGTATCCTTTCAGCACTGACACGTTTAACATGGTGAGCCAGTCAGCCGTTAGCACCAGTTATGATATTGGCCTGTTATTTCTTGGGATTTAAGACTTACCTTAATCCGGTAGTGACATATCTCGAAATCTTCCTGCTCACCACGGCCAAGGCCAATAGTATCCTCGAGTCTCGTCCAGTTAGGGGAAGCATAAATTTTATGGCTGCACTTTGTTACTGGCTAAAGCAAACACTTTCGGCACCAACTTCTAGATGACGGTTATATCTGATACGTTGCTCACTTTCTTATTGCATCGAGGTCCACCATAGCCACCAGGACATATGCATCTTTGGCAGTCTCGTGGATGAGGGAATCCGCCCATCTCGCATTTAACCGATGTAGATTTGTTACAGATCGCTGAATTTTGTAACAAAAAGTGTGATGAAAAAAGTGAAAGTGTTCATGTTAGCAGCAACGCTTTCTTCTGTTGATCCTTATCGGTTCGTATTGATGAAGCAGAGGGAAAGTGAGCGGGCGGCACCAATTACTATACATATATTTGTTGATGAAACCCGCATTCAGCTCCCATGTATTAGAGTCTCCCACCACCGGAGCACTGAAAGTTGGTACTGAAGTGGATTGTGAGGGTAACAAATAGTGAAATGATCACAAGCTAGGGATTCCACGACATTAGCCACGACGGCTACAGAAGCTATAATTAGGTGCATGCCTGGTTCTAGGAATTCGGCTTACTTTCGAGTGGCAAAAATGGCTCTTCTCTGCAGCTGCGCACACAGTTTAGCTGGCTTTTGGCAAGGATCAGTATTTTTCAAAGTGAGTACAGCATATCTTCAGAGAGATATTTTAATGATGACCATCAAACCTTTGCATCCGTAGTGTTCATTGAGCATTGAGAGTTCGATGAAAGAAATGAATGGAGATCCAAGGGTCTGCTGATAATCGATGTCAAACGGAACCATTGTTGGCTTTTTGTTGAACGATGCACTAAATAACAGTAGGGTCAACAACTAGCTATTGTCCAACATTTTATATCACTCAGTGAATGTCGCAAATTGTGTTACAGCGATTAGGTCAGTGCAGTGTCATGATCATGGAGTGGAAAATTGGTTAGATTCTTTGTTTAAAAACATACCTAGTTCCGCCGTAGTGCATAATGCTGCCGTAGTCGTACGTCATGTTGTAATTATCGTTTGTTTTCGTTGTTTCTTTATTGAATTGACTTAGCCAGTCTACCTGAAAGTATGACCTCTGCGTCTCTGACTATTTCGTATAGTTTCTTTACTTCGCTCAACTAGAGGACCGACAAATGATACATATTTTTGTAATGCACGCAAGTCTCCCTGCACTTTTAAAGACTATTCGTTTAACTTGCAGTTTGCCTGCGTTTGTAGTCTGATAGCTGAACCGTCTGCAACATCCTTTTGCTACGATGAACCATGTTCTCAAAGATGTTTACGAATTTCCGAAAAAGTGACGCTTACAGTGTTGTCGAAATCTGCTTAAGATCCCATTGCA